CTACATCCTTTTGTCTTTGGCTTTTTTTTTTTTTGGCACTTTTTTTTTTTTTTTTTTTGCCGTGCCTCGTGGTTTGTGGGATGTTAGTTCCCCAACCAGGGATTGAGCCCGGGCCCACAGCAGTGAAAGTGCCGACTCTTAATGGCTGGACTGCCAGGGAATTCCCTGGGCTTTGACTCTTGACCCAGATCATGGTTACAGGCCTGAAACTGGGTCTTCACACCATTACTGGGAGGGAAAGATGAAGCTTTGCTTGGTCCCAGCGCAGAAAAGCAGATAAAGAGAGGCACAGTGAAGTAAACATGGTTGACAAACATAAAGATAGTGAGAAGGGCTTCCCTGGTGGCGCAGTGGTTGAGAGTCTGCCTGCCGATGCAGGAGATGCGGGTTCGTGCCCCGGTCTGGGAAGATCCCACATGCCGCGGAGCGGCTGGGCCCGTAAGCCATGGCCGCTGAGCCTGTGCTCCGCAAAGGGAGAGGCCACACGGTGAGAGGCCCGCGTACCGCAAAAAAAAAAAAAAAAAGCGAGAAAGGTACCAAATGAAGTTATTTGCATTTCTTTAAATCTCGTTCCATATGATATCCTTCTTTTAATAGATATGAAAATGTTTTAAATTAGTATTTGTTAATTGTTATGTTTATTCTAATAATTTGTTGATTGCATAAGGATGATTGCATATTATAAGACTGAGATGAAATGATCTTTGAATCAGTTGTACATGCCCAGAGGCAGTCTAGCTAGCCAGCCAAATCTCCATAAGCCCATCACTACTATTCACTGGGGGCACCTATTTGAATTATAGGGATTATTCCCAAGAAATGTTGGTCCTGGATATTCCAATGGAAAAGTGACATGAAGTTGCACAGGGTATAATAATGCAAAATTACCCAAAGCTTGACTGTGACCTCATCTGCTACAGACCCAGCCAAGGATTCTTACCAAAGAGCTTGAAGTCAGTGTAGTTGTTTCTGAGAGTGAATGTGACGTCCTTAGTGCTGCTGGTGTAATTAATCACCTTGGCCTGTCCCATGTAGGCTTCGATCACATCAGGACCCTCAATAGACGGGGGGTACTGATCTGAGACACAAAGAAGGAATGCGAGGTGTGAGGCAAGATACTCTCTTGCCTTCTGGGCCTCCTGTTTCTTCAGTCCTCTCTCTTGTGTGAGGCATTGCTCGGGCTGTGACCTACCTCCAGAAGCAGGAATCATTCTGTGTACCTGCTCTCAGACACATGCAGAGAAGGTTGTGGTTGTATTGCCCACACACCCAAATCTTTACTCTCTCTTTTATCTTCTCCTCAAACAGGATTCAAGTTCTTTCCTGATCAGAATGCTATTCTGGGCATGGTATGAAGTGAATCAGAGGTCAGCATTGCTCAGACCGTTGTGGAGTTTTACCTTTGGAAGAGGGCTGTAAACCATGAGGGTAACATCTGATGGGCTTTGCATTTGTCAGGAAATGGAGAGGGAGTAAAACCTTTGCACTGGTCTCTGTGTTTTGGAGCCCTACTATTTCCATACAACTGTTTATTCATTCATTCAGTCAGTCAGTCATAACAAATATTTACTTAGCATCTACTCTATGGCTGGAACTGTTCTAGGTAGTAAGGATGCAGCAATGAACAAATAATAAAAAAGATACCTATGAAATTAGAAAATATGTTAGATAGTTATTGATACTAAGGAGAAAAAATAAAGCAGGGAAGGCAAATAGGAAGTGGGGGTGAATGTGAAATTTTAGGCAGGCTAGCCAAGAAAGGCACTGCTGAGAAGGTGACGTTTGAATAGAGACTGGAAGGAGGTGAGGGACGAGCCTGTGGCTCTCTGGGGGAAGGGCATTCTAGGCAAAGAGAATAGCACGTGCAGCGTCTCGGAGTTGGGTGTGAGCCTGGCATGTGTGAAGAACACAAAGAAGCCAGTGGGGCTGGAGTGGAACGAGTGAGGTGCGAAGTCCTAGGAGAAGAGAGGCAATGGGGCCAGATTGGATAGGGCTTTGAAGGTTATCATAAGGACAGGGCTAGGGAATCATGGGACGGTTTGAGCAGAGGAATAACGTGAGCAAAAGAATCTGTTAAGTTTTAAAAATGTGTCACTTAAAGGAGTGTCATGGAAGGGGGTCACCTCATCTGCCCCCTAACTCTGCACATGCCTCCCTGGGCCTCATACCACTTACTCAGGGTGGTGTTCATCTGCTGGTATCTTCTAAAGAGCATCCCAGTGTACAGTCCAAGGCTTTTGTTTCCTGTGGCTAGGGCATCGTAGATGCAGAGTCTATCTCCGTTACACTTGGAGGTCAAATTTTCATTCAAAGATTTGTTTCCCGGCAGTTGTGAAAAGAAGACAGGGGTGAAGTTGGAAGGCAAATGGTCGTCCCTCTTGCCAAAAAGGCTTGTTCCGTTGATTTCCCCTAAAACACACAAGGTGCGATGGTGGTGGCACCAGGGTGGGACTCCAGCTATATTTCTGCTGTGTCCACCCCTTACCCTTACTTTATATGGTTTGGGTGGGGGAGGGGTATGTGGAAGGACAGAGTGACTTCCACCTTCTGAGTCTGGAAGTCCCCGCTCTCGTGAGTGAGGGCTACCCAACTTCCTTGTCCTCTCTTCCAGGTAGAGAGACGCAGGTGGGACGGAAGTGGAGGGGACAAATCTGGGGTGGAGGGGACAAATCTGTGGTGGCACCAGCATCCTCAGGTCTCTTCCTTCCTACTCCCCTCTCATAGAGGACAGAGGTCTGGTCCCCACAGGCCTGAGGGAGACAGTGCGGCAGCTTCCTTCATCCTGGCCCTACCCCATCTGCCGGGGGACCCTGAGGCTCAGACTCACAGGCCATTCCATAGTGAAAAAGCATCTCCTCAGAGCTCCCTGGGGGAAGGGTGGAGCCATTGGGCATTCTGAAGTCGTCATCTGGGTTGCCGTTCCAGAAGCCTGAGGGACAGAGCAGGGGTCAGCCACCCTGGGACTGCGGCCCTCCCTTCCCTGGGGAGCATCCAACAGGTCACATGGAGATGTGGGGAGTAGGGGGCCTGCGAAGCCTCTTTCAGTTGCATCTGTCATCGGTTCAGTCCTCCAGGAGGCCAGGAGAGGACTATAGCCTCAGAGCCTCTGACCCTCTGCTTCAGGGAAGCAGGAAACGAAGGAGGAAGTGGGGAAAGAAGGGAGGGAATGTGGGGGATGGGGGAGGGCGGGAAGGTGTGAAGCCAGAGGGAGGGAGGGAGGGGAAGGGTGGCTGCTGGCCCCATGCTCCCCAGAGCCCATCCTTGATGCCCCCTCCGCTGCCCTGGACCCGGAGCTTCAGGAGGATGGGAAGTGAGCCTCAGAGGTAGCTGAAGAGCTACCTTCCTCCTCCTTCCCTGATGCTCTGTACCCTCAGGCTCTGTTCCAAGGAGGCTGAGAAAGGAAACTCCACCTGTGATGTCCACAGGCCCACTGGAGGTGGAGCTGCCTCCGGGCTGGGGGGGTCTGAGCTCCTACGGCAGGGGCAGGCTCCTGCCTGTTCCTTACCCATGAGGCCCTCTGTGTGGTTCTGATACTCCTCTGAGAGGCTGCAGGACGCGTGGAGGATGTTGGAGAGAGCGATCACTGAGATGGTCACTGCCCCATCAAAGTTGGCTGATACCGTGGAGCCATTGCGGGTCATTACAACTCCAGAGGTGTTGAACATCTCCTGGCCTGGAATGTTGGGAGACAAATGAGGAAAAAGCCAGTGATGGAGCCCTGGAGGCCCAAGACTTGGCAGTAGTGAAGTTTCAAGATGCAGAGAGGAGACTAAGAGCAACTGGGAGATGCCCTGCAGGGTCCTATTCCAGTGGCCCCAAACCACACTCAAAGGACAATTTCAAGGCCCACCCCACCCCCTTCTCCCTGGGGACTGAGGACGGGCTGTCTGTAGAGAGGCTGTCACGGCCTCAGGGGAAGGAGAGAAGTGAGGAGGGAAAGTTTAAGGCCCAGCTCTGGTGAAGAAACTGCTCAGGCCCAGCTGCTGGAGGGACAGCAGGGGTGGTGACCACGCTGCTCTACTCCGATACCACTGCCTCTCCGCCCCAGCTCCCCTCTCCCTGGTGCTGGGCACCCTGCTGATCCTGACCCAGGGTAGCAGGAGAGGGCAGCTGACGGCTGTCCCCAGCCTACCTTTTGCACCTTCACGGTTAGTATCAAATGTTACAGTCTGGTTGTTGAGCCGAACGTGGATTGTGTCACTGGGCTCAAGGAGCCATTGAACCTGGAAGGGAATTGGCAGAGGCCTAAGACCGACCTGCAGGTGGGCCCAGAAACTGAGGAAGGAGGCTGCGCAGAGCTCAGAGCCTGGGGCTTGGGTGAAGGTGAAGGTGATGGGGAGTGTGACCATGAGGTGATGCTAGCTACCATGTGTGAGGCGCTTGGCATGGGCCAGGCTCTGAGCGAGGCATGTTTCATAGATTAGCTTTTTTTTTGTTTTTTGTTTTTGCGGTACGCGGGCCTCTCACTGTTGTGGCCTCTGCCGTTGCGGAGCACAGGCTCTGGACGCGCAGGCCCAGTGGCCACGGCTCACGGGCCCAGCCGCTCCGCGGCATGTGGGATCTTCCCGGACCGGGGCACGAACCCGTGTCCCCTGCATCGGCAGGTGGACTCACAACCACTGCGCCACCAGGGAAGCCCCATAGATTAGCTTTTAAATCTCACAACGGCCCTGTGAGGTAGGTAATATTATCATCCCCAGTTTACTCTAAGGAAAAAGAGGCACTAGAAGTTAAGTTGTGTCTTCAGGCTCACAGCCAGGACCCTAATCCTGTGTCTCCCGGGTTGACTCTTTTTTAAATTATTTATTTATTTTTATTGAAGAATAGTTGATTTACAATACCATGTTAGTTTCAGGTGTACAGCACAGCAATTCAGACATATATGTATATGAAGAATATATATATATAATTCTTCAGATTCTCTTCCCTTATAGGTTATTACAAAATATTGAGTATAGTTCCCTGGGCTATATAGTAGGTCCTTGTTGGCGATCTATTTTATATACAGTAGTGTGTATGTGTGTTAATCCCAAACTCCTAATCTGAACCACTGCGCTGGCAGGATGCGTCCTCCCTCCCTCCTGCTGCCTTCCCTTCTTCCTTCTCTTTCTCCTCTGGGGCCTCAGTCTCCGGCTGAAGGTCCCTCAGCTAAAGACTCCCTGCGAGGGGAGGGCCCCAGCCCCACTCACCGTGATGGGGTCCAGGCTGCTGGAGTTGTATTCAGCGGCGAAGGCAATGAAGTTGGTGGCCTGGGCCGAGCCGGTCTGGGCAGTGCGGCCCTGCAGCAGGAAGGAGGAGTTTCTATCCCGGGTCCGGACCAGCAGGAAGTCTCCCAGCCCATTGAAGGTGTAATTGGCACCATCCAAGGTGGTGATGTGGGGGTCCCCAAACATCCAGGCTGGAACAAAGGAGGTACCAGATTCGCAGGGCAGACCAGGGAAAGACCTGGGAGGCTTCAGCCTGGAGAGGTGCTCATGGAGCATTTAACCCTCCCTGAAAGCCCTCTTGTGCTTGTGTGCCCCCTCATGTCTTCTCATTACCTCCCCACCTACCACACCTCCCGCTCCGCAGGGCCATGTGTGAAGTCCCTCCTCTGCCACACTCCGCACACACCTCCACCTTCCCTTGTGGTCACAGCGCTGCCCCAGGAAGCTTGTGCCTCCCTGATCCAGACCCCGAGAGGCTACCCCTCCCCAGATCTTCCACTTCAGCCCTGCCCCAGGGCTGGGCTCCAGCAGCCTCACCTGGCCTCGGGGGCTGGTACCCAGCGCAGCTGACGCGGGGCCTCCTGAGCTGGTACAGGGCACAGAAGGAGGGCTTGTCGTTGAAACTGCAACACCAATTCTGCGGCTCCAGTTCTTGGTCTGTGGGGAAGAGCAGCGGGTTGGGGGAGATGAGGGACCTGCAGGACCCAGCTGGGAGGTTTGGGCAGGATGATGTGGGCGGCAAGGGCATGGTTGGCAAATCAGGCCCACATGAGTTCAGATCCCATCCTGCTTAATGACCTTAGGCCATTGACCAGTTACTATGTCCCTTGTGGGCTTGTCAGAGCCACGTGGAGCAAAGCCTCTGGTGGGCAGGCACAGGGTCCTTCCTTTCTTGGAGTGAGGGGCGCTGAGTCCCACCGCTCTCCAAGCGCTGGGAGTGGGAGGCTGTGGCTGATCGTCTGGGGACTAAGGAGGCTGCTGAGATTGCAGGAAGGAGGTGGGGAGCACATGCTTACCCTGGGCCCCCAATCCTGTCCTCTCTAGCTCCTTTGGAAGGTCTCTGCGGGAAACGACCCCATGTCTTCCTCCAGGCAGCCTGCTGATCTGGGTCAGACCAGGCCCCTCCCCTTCCCTAGAAAGATGCCCCTACTCTGGGCTGGGGCTATGGGCCAAGTGGAGATGGGGCAAGAGGAACTCAGTCAGAAATCCCTAGGATGACAGCTGGAAGGGATGTCGGAAACTTCCTAATCTTACAAGATCAGGAAATTGAGGGGAAGCAGCTGGGAGGAAATGGGGACAAGAGGCTTCATTCTGTGGGTCCCACTGCTGACGTGGAGCCCAAGCTCGCCTCTGACAGTGAAGAACAGAAAGCTCCAGAAAAGGCGGGGTTGAGTTTTCCGCGAACACACTTACCAAACTGCCAAGGACTCTGCACTCTCCAGCCTTGGAGAAGCTCTCCCCAGGGTCCGTAGCTGCAGCACACGCCCCCTCGCCAGGAAGAGAAGCTGCACAGCTGCCTGCTGCCAAGGCCCGACCAGGCTGCAACAAGCCCAGACACACTCAGGCCCAGGATGCCCGTGGTGGTGGTGGCAGTGGGGTTGGGGTGCTTCCAGGGAGGAACTGAGGGTGCCCCGCAAGGGAAAGGTCAGGCATGGCCAGAGGGAGGGGGTGGGCTTGTGGGGGACACTGGGGGTGCCTCGAGAGATAGGAAGGAGGCGTCACCTATGTTGATGGGCTGGAATCTCAAGTCCCATAGTCCCTGACTCCAGGAACACGGGCAGGAGATCTGGTTCCAGCCCCAGCTGGGCCACTGAGACTGTCTCTTCAACCACTGCAGGCACTGGAGACGGTAGTTGGGCTTTTCTTCCTTGTGTAGCTTGTAGATTTGCAGCCCTCGGAGGCCTGGGGGAGCAGAGGAAGAAGGGGTTCTCCCAGGGCCTGGGGCCACAAGCTCTGATTTAGCTTTAGGGACAAGCAAAACTCATAAATGTACCCTCTGTATGTCACTCCCCCAACTCTGGACAGCTCTTCCAGGGATGAACCCAACTGAGACTGGCAGGGATTCCTCCCCAAAGGCCCCTTTGATGTGACGGTCAAAATCCCAAAGCTTGGATCTTAGGGTGAAACCCTGGGACAAGTGCCGGGCAGGGAGAGCTCACCTATACCCAACTCAGAACCAAACCCTGGCCCTGAGCTTCACTCCACCCCATTCTCTACCCTCATGTCTGCTACTCTAAACTCCAATACCTGCCAATCCCCCCAAACCAGTTTCTCCTCATGCACCCTATATCTCAGTGAGTGATGCCACCAGCCACCAGCCACGTGCTCAGACACTTGCACAGACATGCCAGTGGCCAAAGCAGCCAGGATGGAGGCTGAGGCTCAGAGGTCAGCTGGGGAGCCACAGGGAAGGTGGCACATGAAGCAGACGCTTGCTCCAACAATACGAGGCTGAGGAAGCTTCCTCTGTGCCCAGATGCCATCCTTGGAAACGAGAAGTAATTGGGAGAAGAAATCCTGAAGGGGGTTTGAACTTTAAATAGACCTTTAATTACCTGTAAGTTACTTACCACCCACCCCAGCTGCATGAGTGAGAAATGGGGCTCCAGAGTACAAAAAAATGCAATAGGACATAATGTATTAGATTTTGATCCTGTTCCCACACAAAAGAAGAAATTATCAAGATAACTACAGTTTGATAAGGTTTTGAAAAGGATAATCATTGTTTATGATTAGCTGTTCGTGTATCTTCTCCACAATGGCCTGGTATCAAGGGAAATACACTAGATACTCTTCCCCCAAACACACGCACAATCACATTGTGCCCCCTACATCACAAGCAGATGCATCTGGATAGAAGGGACTTAATCTGATAGGATAGCTTTCTCCACAAGATGGCACTCATGATTTGACTCAGCTTCTGTTTACCAGAATTTCTTGCCACAGAACAAATAGAACTGGATTTATGCTTCACAGTTTACATGGCTAATTTCTAATGCTAAAATATCTTTTGTTCTATCACATTTTGGAAACTGTAATTTCTTTCCCTTTGGGGCCACCAGACAGTACAAGTCATAGAGGAGGCCCATGGGACCTAAAGTACTGGCCTTCTTACCAGAGTAAGAGCTCTCTGAGACCAACATAGCTGGTCTTTATCTTTTTTCATACTTGTGGCTCTTAGCACTGTGTCCAGCACACAGCAGGTACTCAATAAATGATGACTGAATGGATGTTAGATCCCCTGGAACTCCTTTTTGGTAGATCCATTAAGGGATCTCATCTGGGTTCTCTCTCCAGCTCTAGGACAGGACACTTGGAGAATTTTCCTAACTGCTCATTCACGTCCCCACCTCCTGCTGTACCCCGTCCTCACTTTCAGGATCTGGGCCCCCTCACATAGCCCTCCTGGGTTTGGCTCATTCCAGGGAGAAGACTGTACTGCGTGAGGGTGCGGGAGGTACGCTGCTCCCTGGGCAGTGCCAAGTCTGGATTCCGCCTGTGGGAGGTCGGATTGTGCTGGAAACACCCTTTGGGATGGTGGAGATACAAGGGAGCCGCCCCTCTAGGACTGTCATGGCACACGGAGTGCGAGACAGAAGAGGACTTGAATCCCTCCAGTGTGATAAGGTGGCGCTTTTACCTGAGCTGGAATCCAGGAACTGGTCTGGACGATACTTTTTCCACACTGGCTGGAATGTCAACGGGCTATTTTTGAAATACCCATCTCCACTGCAGGCAAAGGAGAGAATCTTTGGCCTCTGTCACACACACAGTCCTTCCCCTCAGTCGGCAAGTTACTCATTCATCTGGCCGGTCAGTCAGCCAGTCACCCACTCGGTCCAGCCAGTCATTAGTTATCAGCTGGTCAGTCAGCTATTCAGTCAGTTGGTCAGCCAGGCAGCCAGAATCCCTGACTCCCAGCGCTAAGCAGGAGAGGGAAGGAGGCGGATGGGGCAGGGGTAGGAGGCCCTAATTTATTCCACATCGGATGGAGAACTGCAGGAAACTGGTCCTGAGACAGGGGGTTGAAAGAAACAGCTCAGGCCTCCTTCCTGTTAGTTCCCCTTCAACTAGGGGTTGGAGAGGGGGCGCTGTAGGGGACGGCTGGTTGTGAGGGTTAAGAGCAGTCTCTGAGTTAGGAGGACCTGGGCAATGGGTGCTCCGCCCCTCCCCACACACCCCGGGGTGGTGTTTAAGCGCTGCTCCAGGAAGGAGGAAACCCTGGAGCAGAGCTCTCAGCCTCTCTGGGTGCATGCCTCAGAGCAGCGACTCCGGATCCTTTCTCCCCTTTGACACAGAACAGATGAGGCACATGGGCATGACACCTTCCGTGGGTGCACTCAGAATGGTGTGAAATTCCTAGCTAAGTTGGATAATTCCGCTACTTTCTCCTCCAGGGCACATCAAAAAGCAAGTGAAAGCAATGTATTTATAGGAGCGATCCTGAACACACTCTCGGAGAAAAACCCTTGCAGCAATTACCAGTAACAAATTACATGTGACCTTCACAACTGATTGCACACACACCATGGTTCGGAGCTGTTGTGTCAGAGAATGAGCCATCTCCACACTTGGGAACCCACGCCCGCATCCACGCGCCATCCATCTCTCTGCTCTCCATCTTTGCCACTGACCCCACACAAGCTGTTGGTGCCCCTGGGCGAGAGGTTAATTCTCAGCCCATCAGAAGTCAGGAAGGCAGATTTCAGCATTATATTTTGGATTCAACTTCCTGCTTTGCCACTTCCCAGCTCTGTGACTTTGGGCAATGACTTGTCTATTTGTACCTCAGTTTCCTTACCTGCAGAATGGGTAGTAAATGGCATCTCCTTCATGATGTTGTTGTGATAGTCAGATGAAATAATGCCTGTTAAGTACTTGGTGTAATAAATGTTGGCTGTTATTGTGATGATATTTGAGAAGTCGAGAGAGGTCAGCTAATGTCAGTGGAGAGCCTAGAAGTGAAAGCTCTGGGAATTATTATCACTGTGCACGGAGATTGGGGTAGGAGAGAGAATGGCAGGGTGAATAGGGATCTTTTAATCTGAAACAGCAAGAAATGGGAACTGGAGTCTGTGTGAGTCAGAAGCATTGGCAAGGAGGAATCCTGCCTTGTCCTGGGGTGGATGAAGTGTGTGTGCAGCGCAAGCCCTGCTCTGCAGGGCTCCAATTATCTGCTCAGGGCTGACAGCCCCTCCCTGTCCTACCTGGAGAAGCCCATCAGGACGGGGTTGCCTGGGCGCCGGGTCACATCCCACTGCATACCGCCGCTTTGGTAGAGAAACATGGCGTAGGACCTGCTCCCGTCTGTGGAAAGGATGGCCTGGTAGGTGTTGGTCTGGGGGTTGGTAGGAGACAGACATAGGGATGCCTGTGAGAGATCTGGGATGTCCCACCACCCATCCCACCCCCCACCCCCACCACATCCACGTCACCTTTTCCTGGCCTACCCAGAGCAAAGGCATGGGCTTAAAATATAACCAAGTTTGGAATTATGCACAGATTTCACCCTAACTGTCAAAGCACCTGCCATGGTAGATTCGCCTTCTTTGTGACTTCTTTCCAGGGAGGGAAGGTAAAGGACTCTGGGTTAGAATCCAGTTAGAAGAGGGTCTGTATGAGAAAGCTTCAGTAACCTGAGAGGTTAGCCAAGACACTCGAGAGCTGGGAGAGGCCTGAGGAACTTCCTCTGGGATATTTAAGGATATTGTCCGAACGTCCCCTCACCCTAAATAGCGTGGAGGACCATGCAGGTGAGACTGGAGGTTCTCTGAAGGTGGGTGTCAAGCACTGGGCTTGTACAAAGGAGGTAAGCAATGAACTTGTTGAGCCAATGAAGAAATGAGTGACTTTTTAGACCAGACACAAGGAATAACTTTGTGACTGTCCGAGCGGTGAGGCCCCAGAGAGAAGATTAAGGAGAGCCTGTGGTGTGCCCCCTTCCACTGGATGCATTTCGGTTGAGAGCCAGAGTGTGGAGTCAGAAAAACCTCAGTTCTAGGCCTGGCTTTGTCATTTCCTAGCTGGGTGACCATGAGCAAGTTGCTTAACCTCTCTAGCCATCACCTCCCTCATCTCTAATATGTGGGTAATAATACTAGGTTGAGCCATATAAAATTGCCAATAGGCAGCCACTTTTGACTAACAGAAATTTCTTGTCCCATGTTTCAACTCCTAATACCCAGAGCTCTGGGCTGGCGTGATGTCATGTAAGCGAAGCCCTGAGGCACACCTGGCACGTGATAAGTGCTCAGGAAACAGGGCGGGTGTGGGGGGATGGTTGGAGGTGGAGGGATGGGGGATGGGGAGGCGGGGAGGTGGGCCCGGAGGGGAGGGCTATAATCAGCCATCTGTCCTTGAGTCAGAGAGGAGTTTAGAAGAGTGGGCCCTGCCTAGGATTCTAGGATGTCTGACTTCCAGATGGTTCACAGGGAAGTGCCCATTGGTCCACTCACCCCGATGGTTCCCCAGGCAGGATAGGGGGGAACGTGGACCCACGTGACCTTTAGCGTCCACCTGGCTTTGTAGTTCCAGGTGTTTGTTAACCTTTTAATCCAAGACTCCACCTCCCTCACTAGCAGGTTGTATTCATCATAGAGAGTCTCGTATTCCTAGAAAAAGAAGGCAGATACGGACAAGGAAATTAGGGTCCCAGCTCAATACTCCTGAGGGATCCCCCACTTTCTGCTCACTTTAACCCACCTGTGTCTCCCATCCTTCCCCTTCCCAGGCCTACATTTTCACAGTTAGTGCCTGTGACCTTAAGATAGATCCAAATTCAGACCACAGGGAAACCTGGGGTGTGTGGAGTGGAGAGTCGAGGCCCAGAAACCCAAATCTTCTGGACTTGAACTTGTGCATCTCTTAGCATAAACTGGCTCTGACTGTGCAGCCACCTGCGCCCATTTGTACCTCCCTATGTCCAGCTGAAGGCTCCTTGAAGACAGGCATGTATTTCTTCACCTTTGGACCTTCTACAGTGCCTTGTCTGTGGCAGGGGCACGATCCACATTCGCCTGCGGTAGCTTTCATTGTGCTGGTACCTCCCATTGATTGGAGTCATAAACCCCACCCAGGAGCACATGCAGGGTCCCTGCTTGATTCAGCCTTGTTAGGATGGACCCCTACAACCTCATTCTAAAATCAAACCATGGATCGCTGCACCGCATCTCTGTCACCTGCAGTCTTCCTGTGGTTGTGTCCTAGTCTGCTTCCTTCCCACCCACATATTTAAGCTTCAATCCCTGCCCACACTGAGCCCGGGCTGTGATAGCTGGAGCACTTTCAAGGTCCTCCACACAGCCCTTTGTCTCTCCTTGGCTGCTACAGGACCCTGAGTGCTGAGCTTTGAAAGGCCCACCTGGTAAAATATGGTTCCCCGGCTGCTGGAGAAATCAGCATCGTCCCAGAATGGAGCCACCAGGGCCACAGGATCCCAGGCTGTAAAGCCTCTAAGGGGAGGGTTGGGGTAGGAGAAAATCTGGTACTCTGACTCCAGAAAAATGATTTGGCCATTATCTGTGAACTGAGCACAAAGGTTCTTCTGGTTAGCATTCAGGGAGGGAACATCTCAGCCTTGGGTCAGCTCCTGGGATGCATGAGGGTAGAACTTCAGAGATTTCAACAACCTCTGGAAGGTCTCACCATCTCCCTGCCTGCCGGGAGAGGCCCTGTACATAGTTCTCCCACAAATACTCTTCAACCTTAGGCCATTCCTCACATCCTAAGTCCTTCCTAAGGTGGTAGGTTTTGTCCTGCTTTAGTGGCAGACTCATCTATAGACCAGCCCATCATCATAGAGCAGACATCTCTGGGTAAATCCCCTTAGTCCCACCCCTGAAGCTTGTGCTATATCCGTTAGAGCTAAAAGAATTGATACCCTCACCCCATCGCTGTGTCACCCTTTCACAGTGTGTCCTGACTCAGCCCCCTCACTGAGGGCCACGACTGCCATTCAGCTCTCCTCTGGGAGACATGAAGTAACAATACTTGGACCAGGGAACCAGGAAATAATTATAGAAAATGTGAACAGCATCAAAGAGTCAATTTTCCCAAGCAGAGCGTCCTACTCAATAAAAGGGCCCGTGAAAACGGTGGAGAGCTTACTGGGCCCCGGCACCTCTCTACTGAGGTGACAACAATTCTGTCCACCTGGGTGGGGAGGCCTTGCCTAGCTCCCTGTCTTCTTCAGCTGGTGCCCTATCATTAAAGATGGTGCATGCAAACTGAGCTAGCGGCAGGGACACAGTAGGTGCCTGACCAGCATTGTTTCCATTCTCCTGCTCGGTCATGGTCATGGTTGGTCATGGTCATGTTCACAGGGATGTCTCTGAGGCTTAGAGGGAGAAGCAAAGCCCGCGGAATGCAGGTCATGGGTCCTGCCCTTTGGGCTGCAGTCGGGGACTCACATAGAGGGAATCTCGGAGAAAGGAGCCGAGGGGGAAGCCAATCTGGGGTTTGAAGAGTGGCGAGGTGAAGTCCACAGTCCTCTTCACAAACTCCTGGTCTCCAGCACACAGCCCATAGGGGAAGAGGGAAACGCCTGGGCCGGTACAAAGAGGAGCAGGAAGTTCTCATGGGCCCTGATGTCATCAGGGCTGGTAGGGGCCCCCAAGAGTGTCCCCAAGCTGCTCCTCCACTCTTGCCCCCTGTTCCCCTAAGTGGGAGCCATCAAGGACTCCTCTCTCCACTTGCATTCAACCCATCTCCTCATTTTACCCCTGAAATGGTACGCTCAGCCTTCCCCAGTTTGAAGAAAAACAGGTTCTGCTGTCAGAATACCAACAAATTATTCTGTACCAGTTATGGTACTCAAAATTCTTTTAAGAGTGAAAAGACAAAATTCCTCCAATGTAGTGAAGATGAGTAATTGAAAGATCATTTCACAGAATGAGACTTATTCCCTAAGATGGTATTTCTCTAGGTAAACTTAAAATCCCCGTAGAATTTGTCATCAGATCCCCCATGGAGGTCCTTGGGCTCCAGTTTGAGAAACCTTGTCCTAAACATTTCTCAAATGGGCCTCCTCCTTTCCATACTGGCAGCCCTCCCCTGGTGTGGCTTGGAATACTGCAGCAGTCTCTACACTGCTCTCCTGGCCTCCTGCAAATTCATCCCCCACCCCAGCCACCATGGCACTGTTCATAAATGTAAATCACGCCACGTCCTCCCTGGTGCCTGTTATCTACAAGATTCCCTCACATGACAGCTTTGCTTCTCAGCACCCTTCCCCTCACTTCTGGTAACCCCAAATGCTTTACGGATCTCCTCCCCATGTAACACTAGGACTGCTTTTCCTGTCCATGCCTTTATTCCAGCTGTTCAGGCCCTCCTGCCTGCCTGGGGCACTTCCGCTACCCCAGCTCCTATTCA